AACACAATCTGTGCCCTCATTTACCCATTCATACAGCACTCTACAACACAGAGATTAATAGGAGCTTTATAATAATAATAATAATAATAATAATAATAATAATAATAATAATAATAATAATAATGTCATCACTGTATGTTTCCATACATGGCGAAATTAGTCTCTGCATTTAACCCATCCAGTGGGTGGTGCAGTGGGCAGCTATTGAAGGTGCCCTGGGGACATTTTGGGGATGAGGTGTGCTGCCCAGAGACACCACGAGGTGTGCAGTGACCGGGGATCGAGCCTGGGACTTTCGGGTCCCGGGCCGGCTGCCCTGCCTCTGCACCATCTCGGCCCCCCATTCATACACCGATGGGACACACATCGGAGGCAGTGAGGGGTTCAGCATCTTGCCCAGGGACACTTTGGCATGTGACTGCTGGTGGATTCGAACCCCCAACTCTTGCATTGGAAGACAACTGATCTAACCACTCAGCCACAGCTGCCAATAAAATTAATTAAATAAAATTAACTTAAATAGAATAATAAGACATGATTTAATTTCATTAAATAAATTAAATTCAACCAACAGTTTAAAAAAGAACAAGATTTTGATTATTTTATTTCATATAACAAGAATATTTTCAGTTAAAATGAATAAATAGATTTTTTTTTTTTTTATTGTCAAATGATTATTTGAGCAACAAATCTCCAAAATGTAAACTGCTGGAACACCAAAACATTCAGTTTATTTCTTCTTTTGGTTTCAAATATTATTTTTATGCAACCAAAAATGTGACTCATTACTTCAAAAATCTGATAAATTCTATTTTTTAAAACTGTTTTTATAACAGAATTGTTGATTTTGACCCAAGACACTCACTTTGTCCGCGCTGCCTCGCAGAATTCTTTCAGTCCTTCCTTGAACTTTTGCCAAAGTCTTCATTTTGATTCTCGTGCTCGTTCCTCCTCAGATCGCTCTATTCATGCATCTTTTTCTCTTTAATTTGACGTCAGGTTTCCTCCCTTTATTTAAACATGTTTCATAATTTAAAGGCTAAGGTTAAGTTATTGAGGCTGCAGAGAAACTCTGTTTTCTAGCAGTTAAGTCAGTTGCAGTCTCTCCTCTGATGGAGGAGGGGGGTCAATCCATCATGACAGGTTCAGCCATGCCCCTCAAATGCTTCTTCCGTCTGTGGAAAACAAGCTGAAGTGCAACTTGTTCATGAACTTGAATCTTTAAGGCTCTCCTTTGAGAATACAAAGGGATTTTCAGATTTTATGGCCACGTCATAAAACCAGAGAAATTGCATTTCCTGTGTTCAGTGTGAATGCTTATTGCAAAAGAACTTGCTGAAAAACGGCTAAAAGTAGCTAAAAAAAATAAAATAAAAAATTTAATGCTGAAATGTAGCTGAAATAAAAGAAGAAGAAGCCTAAATTAGCAGAAGAAAGCAGAAAGAACACATTTTTGCTGAAATTTGTTTAGATATTCAGAAATTAGCAGAACAATTAAGAAAGTAGCTAAAAAAGCTGAAATTAGCACAAAAAAAAGTCTAAAAGGTAGCCGAAAGGCAGCAAGAAATAGTATAAAATAGCTAAATAGTAGCAGCAATAGCTGTAACTAGCATAATTAAGCTGAAAGGCACACAACAAGCTTAAATTATCAGAAAGAAGTAAATTAGTGTAAAGTAGCAGAAATTACCATGAAAAATGTGAATTTATCTGAAAATAGCCAAAAATAGCTGAAATACACTCAAATGTAGCTGAAAAGTTAGAACAAGCTTGAATAAGAAGAATAAATCAGAAAGAACACAGGTTTGCCCATTAGCACAAAGAAGTGGAAATTATCTGGAAAAAAAAAAGCTGAAATTTGCAACAACAACAAAAAAAAAAAACTGCTAAAAAAGCAGAAAGAAGCTTAAATTCCCAGAAGCGAGCAAGTTTTTGCTGAATTAGGCTGAAAAAAGTTTAAATGGGTGCAAAAAATGTGGAACTAGCCAAAAAAAAGAAGCTAAAATTAGCCTAAAACAGCTAAATAGTAGATGAAATAACAGAAAAAGCTGAAACTTGCATAAATAAACTGAAAGGAGCGCAACAAGCTGAAATTAGCAGAAAGAAGTTTGGACGCACAAAATGTTGTAGTTAGCTAAAAGAATCTGAGAGGTGCACAAAACTACTGAAAACCAGCTGAAAGTAGCTGGAAAAAAAAATTAATTTGCACAGGGAAGCTGAAAGAAGCTGAACCAGAACAAAATGTGAAAAGAGCAGTAAAATGTTGTAAACACATCTAAAGCTTTGAAGGATGTAAAATGAGCTCATGGGAAGAAAAAAAATGGCAGAAAAGGCTAAATATTTCAAAAGGCTAAAGTTGCACCAAAACCAAAAGTCTTAGCGCTTTTCTCCTGAAGGAGATGAACGTTTTGACATTTGAATTGTTGAACAAATATTGTGGAACAAGAAAGATGCCGAAAATCGTATGTAATAAAAATGGATCACAATAGTGTGAATGCTTCATAAACATTCACACAATGAAGGACTGAAGCGGGTGAACGTTTGGGAGATCAGAGAAACTCAGCCTCACCTGCTCTGCTGTGAGATCAGTTCTTCTTTTTAGTTTCCTCTGAAGGTCTTCTGAATTCTTGATCATTTTATCATACTCTCAACTCTCCTAACATTTACATTTCAAAATATTCAGCTTATTTAGGAAATTTTGGCTGTGACTTTTGGCATTTGTAACTTTTACACTTTTAGAATTATTTAGCTGTATTCGTTTTTGCTTACAGAAATCTGTTAAAGCTCCTCAGATCCTTTAAAAACTTTGTTTCGTTTGAAATCTTCTTTAACGTGCTTGATTAAATTTTAACCAGTTTTAGTTTTTAGCTACTGTTCTGATAATATTCAATTTTAGACACTGTTTTTCTAGTCTTAACTTTTAGCTACTATTTTGGCAATTTTAGCTTTTAGCTAATGTTTTGCTCATTTTATTTTGTAGCCATTGTTCTGCTGGATTTAGCTATTAGTTACTGTTCTGCTATCTTTTAGCTGCATTTCATCTTATTTTAGCTTTCATTTAGAATGGTTTTAACTTCAACAACTCGGTTATGTTTTTCAGCCATTCAGCTTGCAGCATTCTTAGTTTCTTTACAGAAAATCTCAACTATGATTCTATTTTTGCAGCTGCTCCCACATTTTTGTTTTATTCTTGAATTCATTTAATTACATGCCTGCAAAATATATCATACCTTGTGTGCATTTTTACTGTAACTTTATTTCAAAAATAATCAGACTAAAAGGTCTTTATTTCATTACTCTTTGTTTTAGGTTTTTCTGTCACATGTACATTTATACATGGCTTGTATCACTGCTTTATAAAGAGAAACCTGAAGAGTCCTACTGTCAAAAAACAAAAAGTTAAAAAGGGGTCGTGGTGTGGGATTTGAGAAAACTCTTTAATTTGGATCCATTAGGGTAAAAAAGAAAAGAAAAGAAGGATTCTAGTGAAATGTTGAAAATGAACAGAGCAGGACGTAATCCTCTCTTATAAAGCTGCTGTAAGTGGGATGAGCTCAGCATAGATGAGCAAACAATGTCCCTGTGAAGACGCTGTGAGGACACTCAGGTGGACATGTAGGATGGAAACGTTTGTTTACACGTCTGAAAGGAAACTGGCTGCTCTGGAATCATCAGGAAGGAAACGAGAAGTCATTTTGATGCGACGACAGACGTGTGATTCTGGAATATGTAAATCTGACCAAGCTATCCAGCCAAACATTTATTGGTAAGTTGATCTACTTTTTGTGCATATGCACATTTACCTTTTCGTTTGCATTTAATGACAACATTATGAGGGTGGTAGATGCCGCAGTTATGCCTCAGATAATATAACATCCGCTTGTAACTCCACCTTTTGCTGAGATGTCCAAAACACAACTTATATTGGAGTTTAAAAAGTGAGAAAGCACTTTGAGAATCTTACAGCGGATTCATAAATCAGTAAAAATGATTTGTGACACACGTGACCAACATGATTCTGATGTGGGCTGTTCCTCATTTAGTCCCTGCTGTACGTGTTTAATGCTGATCCACTTACTCCTTGGTAAAAAGCTCAATGAGCTCATGAAGCCACACCTGTGAGCCTCACTGCAACACTTTAATCCCTGAGTCCTGCTGCTCTTTGCTCAGCTGTCAACAAGTAAAACCTCCAAGTTTCAGAGCAACTAATCAGAGACCCCATGATTTTACTGCAGTTATCCCATTTAATTATTGACGGCAGGAGATATGGCTGTCTTTTAGCAAAATATCTCATGAAGCACTGTACAGATTTTGATCAGTCAATTGTACAGGTATTTAGGATTTTCTAACTTTTCAGTTCAATCCAATTCAAGATGGCCGCTCCAGCTAATGGGTCGACTGATACTGAGCTCAAATATGCTGTGGCAGTAGTTGAGCATTGTTCCCACTATAACTGCCACACGTTGCACAGTCTCTTTGCCTGAAACTTTGGCAATAACTGTTTGCCTGTTAGCAAAATATCTAGTGACCAACTTGAAACATTTTAAAGAGACTTTCAGGAAGCAATCCATGGCTATATACGCACATCTGAATAAATTCTGGAGATTACCCAATTCAAAATGGCTGCCAGAGCTATTCAACCTTATACAAAATGACTCTAATGTTTCCGATATTGAGCTCAAATTTGGTGCGATAGTAGCTAAGAGTTACCCACAACACCTGAATGTGACATGGTATGACATCACGCAACATTAATGTGAAGGTTTGACCACAGCTGCTGTAACTCCATCTCTCAACATGTCATAAAAAGTGGCAGGATACATGCATTACTGTGAGAAATGCCAGGCCTGTAATAATTTAACGTATAATGATGGTTCGTTATTTTTGCTTCACCAGAAAACGAGTTCTGCGCCTTGATGTAATATATTTCATCAAACAGATCTCCTGTAGATGTAAACAGAAGACATAAAGGCTGAGTCCAAGCTCACTTGTTCTCCTGGAAGATGGCCGCTAACGGAGAGGACCCCCACCTGGGCTCAGGCCCTGATGATGATGATGATGACTCCGCTTCACCAGGAAGGGACGGTGACTCTGACAGCATCCTCTCAGACGACTCGGTGCTTCCACCCTACACACGGGAGACACCGAACCGGGGCGAAGCATCGTCTCTGTATCAGGCATGTGCCTGCAACAACCGCAGCTCTCTGAGGAGAGCGCTGCAGAGGGGGGTCACGAAAGACGAGGTGATGGAGCTGGACAACAACGGCAAGGTCAGAGTTCCATTTAACACCCAGGCAACAATTTGATACTTGAGCATCATCAACATTATTGACTTTTATCATTGACTGTAACCATCAGAACGGCCTGATGGTGGCGTGCTCCTATGGTTTCATAGATATGGTTCATGAACTTCACAACTGTCCCTTTCTGGACATAAATCATCAGGACAGTGAAGGCAACACAGCGCTGATGATCGCATCTCAAGCAGGTCAGTCATCTCTTGAAACTTGTGTGCTGTATAGTTTCAGAATACGGTGGTGAACTGTGTCATCTGGACTTCGTTTTTTTGTTAAAAAGAAACGTTTCGCCCCTCATCCAAGAGGCTTCGTCAGTCTGAGGCCTAGCCATCTGGTATTACCCAGAAGCCACCCTGACTCTTGTGTTTCAGGCCTGCCTCAGATACCCCTGAAGTCTGGCCTTTTCACTAATGGTTTCAAAAACACAAAGTTTGTTTTCTCAGTCATCCAGGTATATAACAACAAAAAAGGTTTTTTGTTGTTATATACCTGGATGACTGAGAAAACAAACTTTGGTGGTGAACTGTGTTCTCACTGCAGGTCACATCAGCACGGTGATGTATCTCCTGAACTACTACCCCGGCATAGACATGGAAATGAAGGACTGTCGAGGGTTCACAGCTCTCATCAAAGCCGCCATGACCGGCCGCTGTGACGTTGTAGCAGCTCTCGTTATGGCTGGTATGTGTCAGAACATGATACCTACAGGGATTTTCTGATGAGATTCATTTATCAGACTCATAAATGACGGTGCATTGGATACACGTTGAATTATTTAATAAACCTTTAAGCAGACTCTTACGGCTCTAAATGGAGCTCATATTTGATCTGTCTGTATCTGAAGTCAGCAAACTGGTGATGAGTTAATGGGCATGGTTTTCTTTGGTTTTGCATCTTTTGATTGCAGTGTTTTTAACAGTAAAAAACACAAAAGCATGTGAGACAGCTAAATCTGGTTATAGGTATTTAAGATTTCACACTACTGGGATTGTGCAAACTGGACAAAGTTATTTTTTGTTTTGTTTTTTTAATAAAAACATAATTACCGCAATTAAGATACTTTTCCAAAAAGTGAATCTTTCAGGCTTTTAAAAAAACAATGAACTTGTTCAAAAAAAAAAAAAGAAGAGGTGGAATTAACCTTTCTGTCCTGTTTTCATCTACATTTCATTCCAGGGGCGGACCGAGATGCAGTAGACGCTGCTCGTGGAGCATGCGCCCAAGACTGGGCATTAAAAACAGGCCGTTTTGAGGTCATCCAGCGTCTCCGCCGCCTCGCGATGCGTCCGAAAGCTGGACAGTTCTGTGAAAGTTACGTTCCTGAGTGGCCTGAGCTCAAGGACAGGGTGGCCAAAGCCACAGCGCAGAAGAGTCCAGCAGAAAAATTCACACTGCGAATCAAAAGCACATTTGGGTTCAGCTTTCCGCAGGATCCCCAGGACAACGGGGTCATGGACCACATGGTGCGCATGACCACCAGCATCCACAGTCCTCTGGTTTCTACCGGATGTCGCCCACTCTGCCCCACCAGCCCACCAGAAATGGGGAAGAGGCGAGTTACTGTGCAAGAGCTGATGAAGAAACACCCTCAGAAGGAGCTAGAAGTAAACTCGGCGTGCCACAGCAATGGCTGCCTGAAAAACGTCACCCCTCCAGTCCGCTCTGCTGAGACGGTCGCTGCGTTGTGCTGCCCTGACACCGATCGCAGAGGGAGCATTCTCTCCTTGACCTCTGCATTATTTCCTCGCAGTATAGCAAGACGAAACAGTGTCTTCCCCGCTGGATCTATCCCGGACATCAATGTGGACAGGCCTTCAGATGCAACGCCAAAGAAAGAAAAGAAAAGAAAGAACAAAGGAAAGGGCAAACTGGAACCCCCCAAGTGGATATACAAGGAGCAACAAGAAGAGAAAAAGAAGTGCCTGTGACGGTTAATAGTTGTTAATAAGAATATTGCAGTCAGACACTGAACATGAAAAAAAACAGGAGCGCAAGTCCACCCACTTCGTATGTGATCAGCCATTAAACGGTCATCGTTAGTTATTATCATCTCCATATGTTAGCGATGATAATAGGCTCTGTTTTTAGCTTTGTTAGCGTTCATAATAGCTTCACGTGGTCAGGTTTAGAGTAAAGGGCCTGGCGGTTAGGTTTATGGTCTTGGTTAGGTTTAGGCACAAGGGTAAGTGGGTTAAGTTTAGGGTTGGTTCTCTGGGTCAGGTGTAAGCTTACGTTTACGAAAAGGGTTACATGAGCTAGAAAAAAACAAAAAAAAAAGACACTTCCTGGTTTACCCTTGTGCCACGCTGCCTATTGTCAGCAATAATAACGATAATAACGTACCTTTAAACCTACTAGGAGGTAGGTGGGACAGTCTGACTGCTACATATGGGGATGATAACAACTAATAACGGCCATTTAATGGACTGATAACATCCGAAGCCGCTCGTACTGGCCGGGGTGATCAGCAAACTGGAACAGCTGGAATGATTACAAACTAACATCGGGTGTGTGACAGGCTGAACAGAAACTGAGGGCAAACTATGGCAATGGAGAAAAATTAATCTAAAACGATCAGGTTGAACGGGCAGCACGGTGGCGCAACTGGTAGAGCTGCTGCCTCTCAGCGAGCAGGTCCTTGGTTCAAACCCCGGTCCAGGGGCCTTTCTGGGTGGAGTTTGCATGTTCTCTCCGTGCATGCGTGGGTTTTCTCCGGGTACTCCGGTTTCCTCCCACAGTCCAAAAACATGCACGTTAGGCTGATTGGTAACTCTAAATTGTCCCTAGGTGATTGAGAGAGTGAATGGTTGTTTGTCTCGTTTGTCTTTATGTGTCCCTGTGATGGACTTGCGACCCGTCCAGGGTGTACCCCGCCCCTCGCACAGTGATTGCTGGACATGGGCACCAGCGACCCCTGTGACCCAAAATGGAATAAACGGGTAAAGACAATGGATGGATGGATGGATGGATGGATGGATCAGGTTGAACAAGTGACGGAAACAAGACATTCTCCAAGACTTGAATCGGGCAGGTGAGAAGCATCATCCAGGACCCCCCACATACTTGAAAATAGAAACAGGAACGTGGCCAGAAGGATCCGAGACCCCCTCAGACTTGGGAACAAGAACTGGGGGCTGTGGTAGCAGCTGGAACCTGGGTAAGGAACCATTGCAACAGAGTCTTGTGACTATTGATTATTGCTTGGATGTAGACCACAGTGTTTTTCAGGTATAGAAAATTCTAGACTTGTGACTGAGGAAGTATAGATATTTCCATCAGGGAGAAAGAAGTCTACGCCTTAAGTCCAGTGATGCAGCCAAACCTTCCCCCATCCTCTCCAAGGTGTCGTCCATCTCCTGAACCCTCACCTGGCTGTATGCTGGATTCAAGACTGGTCAGATCCTACTGTAACGACTGGTTTGATTGATCAGTTTGACTGATACTCAGCTGCACTTTAAACAGAAGACAGAACAGAGTGAAAGGAACGTTTGAGGCACCATTGACTAAAAGCAGACATTGTCCAGATTTAGTTTATTTTGATGCTCGGTGATAAGACTTCTGTCTTTTGGGTTGATTGTGAGTAATAATGAATGAGACCAAACAGATTGAAAATGTTTTTTTGAAAATGGTAACTTTTAAAATGAGGTGATTTGTATTTATATGCTATTAAATTTAAAGTTTTAACAATTAAAAAAATTTAACAGCGCAAATAAGAAAATTAAGTTGTGTTGTTTGAATAAATGCATAAATGTTAAAAGATAAAGCATTTGATTACATTTTAAAACCAGTAAACAATGTACATTTAACATGGTTAAGTCAGGTCCTCTGGTCAGATTCTTCTTTGTTGAAACGTTTCATCATTTATCCAAAAAACTCCTTCAGTCTAACAAAAGACGAAATGTTTCAACAAAGAAGAATCCGTCCTGACTTAACCTTGCTGGATTTATCTACCTGGATTATCAGTATGCAGACAGGTACATTGCAACATTTCTTTTTTCAACCATTAGGTGGCAGCACCGAGCAATAAACGAGTAAAAATCATTTCAAGCTGGGTAGTTTATTTTAGCTACTATGTTTTGGACTTGTAAATTATGTAATCATATTTTTTAATGGGTTGTAATCTTTACAACAGTTCTATAAAGCCAAAGAAAAAACAGTTTAAAACAAAAATTAAATCCTAGTAAGACAATTATTAAAACGGGCCTAATCATGTACTGCAATACCAGATGACGTCACATGGTCGCTTCATTCAGGTACGTTCACCTCTTTAGGGAACTTACTTTCAGTGTTGACACTATCAGCAACTAATACTGATATTTTGATTTAATATTTCTTTTTCTTTGGAAGCCAGCACTGTAGCATGTTGTTTGTTTAGTGTTTTTATGCTTACAGGACCTGCTTCTTCAGCTGCACGCATGCAAATTATTTCAGGTACAGTTTGTGTATAGTTTCATTTCTGATGGACAAGAAAAGCCAGCTGCTTAGCTGCTGACCACACATCATTTAAAACAAACAGTTCTCAGAATGATCTCCAGCCGCTGCCCCCCAGGTTTGTGTAAGACCACACCACTGGACGGTGTTTACACAAACCACAGCAGGCTGCAGCTCTTCTGGGTTAAACCTGCGCAGAGTACTTCTCCTCTGAACTCTGGGAGAAAAGCTGAAAGTAAAACCCACGAAAGTTACATTTAAACTTTTACACAACCTGAGTAATAAATATAAATATATTAGCTAAATCAGGAGAGTCGAAACCTTTTCATGCGTAGGCTAAAATGGTCAAGATGAACATCCCCGCCAGTAACAAAAAAACTGAATTTATAATAGGTTGACCACCTGATCACCCTTTTGGACCATGGATGGCTCGAACGCGATCGAAGTACTGAAAAATCATACAGCTGGCAGCCGTAATAACAGATCATGGGTTTGAAGAGGCACTAATGAAGTTTATCAACTTGCATGTAGGTTATACTACTTTAAATTTCCTTCCACCGATCATTAAATCAACTGCAATTTAATTTTTTTATCACTTGCTATACTTAGCCAAATTTTATGAATTATTATTCAAGTGTCTTTTTGGTAGAAGTCAGTCAAAGTTTGTGGTGCTTTGTACCGTGAAATGGAAAACAAAACAACAAAAAATAATTACCGTACAGCAAAACGTTTGTGTTGCATGTCATATTGCTTATTTCGAAAACTTTTTTTTTTAATGTTTTGCCGTTAAACCTAAAGATCTTATTTAAAAAAGTATCACCATTAAATTTGCAGGTCTCCATGTGATTCAAATTTTTAAGCCTTGCAGTCGTGGGCCACAAAAAAAATCACTCCAAGGGCCACAAATGGCCCGCGGGCCGCACTTTGAACAGCCCTGAGCTATATGTGAACATTGTAACTGTGCTTTGTATCAAGTTACAAGAAGTTACTTTTCTACATGGTCAGTTTTTACTCGATTTCTTTTCCAGTCCCTAACATTTGGTTTTACAGCAGCTTTAACAACACGTTTATGTTCCTATAGAAGACTATATCAAAAAGTTTACAAAAAACATTTAAGCGTTCAAAAGGTGGTTTATGTAATCCTACAGTGGAAAGATTTATTAGGTCAATAAAGCAAAAATAAGCCCACCAGTTCTTTAGTGAGTGTTTGAGAATGAAAACATTTACTGGAAGAAAGTAAGAAAGTGTCAAGGACTTTTATTGGTCATCTTTTAAATTAAAATGTCAGTGCGTACTAGTACAAAAACTGCATTTACATGCACAATTTGTTGTACAAAAGCAAAACACAGAATGTTGCTCACAACTAATGCTGGTGTTTAGTGAGATTTAGTGACTATGACTCTAAACTCAGTGAATAAAATGCTAAATAATTAAAATATTAGATGTTCTGATTGTCGTCACTGACTGTAACTAAACAAAACGTAACACGGTTAACAAGAGAAAAACTCAATGAGATAAATTGTTGAATTAAACTTTATGCAATAAACTTGTTTTCCAGAACTGAAATAAGAAGTAAATCTCTCGCATGACACTGAAACCTAAAATATGATCCAGAAGCAGAAACGATAAATTATAACAATCCATTTCACGCTGACTTAGACATGACAACACAAAATGTCAACAAACATGAGAATCGACAAAACGCAGAAGAATGATTATTTTCTTTAACCAGGTCGGTCCGTTTCTGGAAAGTTTTCTCCCAGGTCGTCACTGTGCCGTTTGTCTTCACAACAGCATGAATAACAAAAGGAAAAGCAAACATTCAGCTGTTTTTAAGGGGGAAAAACAAGCCTGGAAGCTAAAACGTGCAAAAACCCCAAGAACGATTCAGACTGCGGTCATACGTTTTTCATGTCATAATTTTAAAAATAACTAAAATGACTTTCCAAGGTGTTTCGTTCCAACGGCACATTAAACTAAATAATTAATAAATACCTGAGTAACTAATCAATGTCTTTGCAAGTTGGAAGAGTACAAACATTTGATAGTTAAATCTTCCCAAGTGAATTGAATAAACAAGCTAAATGAACAAGAAATAAAAACAACTTGAGATAATTCATATATTTACAGCAGGAGCCTTTATGAAAACATCTGCAGTGCAAAAACTCTGTTCACGTGCCACAGTCTGATGTTGCTCCGAGACAAAACTTTCTCTGTTTGTAGGTTTCAACCTTCACAAGAAAACGAAATGTTGGCAACGTGAGCTCAAAGGGATTTCGCTGCATAAGGTAGTTAAGAAGCATGCCTGTAATCACACAACACGGATTACGAGGGGGAACGATGCTGGATTACCCTGAATGGCCACAACAACTCTTCAGAGGCTTCTGTTGTCAAATCTCTTCAGGTCTTAGGTTCTTTGGAATTTGGCTCAATTTAAAAAAGGTTCTGTATTTCCTCTCCTGCTACAAATATTAGCTGCTGTATTGCTAAAAAAAAAACTTCACATCTTCTCCAGAGAAGTCTTCACAAGTAGGTTACAGGAGATGAGAAGAATCTCCGATGTGCTTTTGTAATTTTGTTTTTCCCACATGCTTGTTTTGCTCCCTTTTACTAACTCAACATAAAAGTTATTCAGAACTCCTCCCTCAATTTGTGCCTGTGGGGGAATAAAATGTTTCCAATATAAAACTGCAACAAGCGTGATGTTGCTGCTTGTATTAAAACGGTGCAAGTTTCTCGAGTTTCGGACTGCATTTACCCTCTTCTCCATTGGTGAGCACGAGGGCCTGGAGGATATCTGAAAGGGAAACGATTCCCTTCACCACTTCATGCTCGTCCACCACCACTAGTCTGTGCACCTGAAGGAGACGGAGGAAAACACAGCTCAGCTTTGTTAAACACTGGAGAAAAACAAGATGAAATGTGCACACATTTGTTCTTTGATACTAAAGGTCAATAAGGTTTTAATTGTATTAAGAAACAAAGTCATTTAGTGTTAATTTAAATTATATTCTGACTTCACAAATTAAAATCTTCACTGATCACAAAACCAGAAAAAGACACACTGATCAGTCTTTTGGGTTGGGCTTGACAAGGAACATAAAAAGAAGATTAAATAAATTTAGGTTATAATTCCTCTCAAGTTTGAGGTAAACCAGAAGTGACGTGACAATTAAGACACTTTTTACAGTTAAATTACTGTGAAAAACAAATTTATATTTTATCCACTAAATGAAACAAAAGCTGTTTTTTGTTTGTTTTTTTGCACTGAAGGCTCCAGAGTTACTCATAAATCTGGAGTGACAATACATTCATGAAGTAATATTTCTTTACCGAGAACAATCCTGAGTCATATTACAACAAGCAACACCATTTCTTTTTTAGTTTTTTTATTAGATCACTTATGTAAGAGCCATATTAGTGAAATAAGTAGCATGACTTGACAGGTGGGCACGCAGCTTTGACACTTGGGTGGAGGGTGTGTCAGTGTGTGTGTGTGTGACTGTCACCAGATATAAATGACGTGCTGACTGGCGTTCTGGCTTTTGTATGGATGAGGGAGTTGGGTCATATTTTCTGTTGCCCGTGTTATAAGATGCCATATAGCGTTATGCCATTAAGCATTTATTAACTGTTTGGACCTGGTCAGTATGCGTCTCAGATTGTGTAATGTTTAAAGCATGGAAATTTGAAGCGGAATAAACCGATCATGACACGAAGAAGTGACCTGGAGTGACGTCAGTTTAGAAACGCGCGTCGGACAGAGATCCCCAAATTTAACCCAGCGCGGCCCTCAACACCATACGTTTGCTACATAATTAACTTAGATCAGCTCCGCGCAGCAGGAAGAGTAAAGCATCATGATGTAGACAGCCAAAACTCAATCTGCTGTTTCTCTTTTGATTTAAAGTTTGGTGCTGTCAGTTTTATAGCCTCCATGGAAAACACTACAGTCAACAAATATAAAAAGGTGACCTGTGTCCACCTGGGTCTGTTTTTACATTAGTACTAATCAGAACTGATAACTGCAGCCATTCTATACCTTTCACCATTGAGTAATAAAATATAACTAGTCGTTTTTTACGTGTTTTTTGTTGTGCAGTGTGAATGGAGGTTAGGTATATTGACCTCCACTCCTCACCTCGGCCTCCACCAGTCTGTTGATTATAGCCTCCAGAGTATCGTTTCTGTTGCAGGTCAACACTCCCTCGAAGTACTGAGAGCGGTGCTTCAAGGCTTTGGTCACCGTCACGTCCAGGTTGTTGTACGTCTTCTCTGCTGCCAGATTCTGCGCAAAGAACAACATGATGAATGAGGCGTCCTGCGTTTTGGTATTTTTATTTATCAAACTCACAAGAATCAGCCATTTAGCAAAAAAAATAATAATTTAAAAGGAAACAATTTGCAACATGAGGTTTTCTCTGCCCTTCAAAATAATGGGAAGCTGATATGTTTATACTCATGGTTTATTTGTCCTGACTGATGACTTCTAGCTGTTTAAAAGTGTGCTAAAGGCTAAATCTTCCCTCTGCTGCTACCCTACAACATTTGTGCCAGTGACCAGACAAGTTATCAGTAGGAGTCTTTGTGACTCTGAATGTGATTTCTCAATTCTACAAACACTTGTTTCACTTCAGTGTGAGGAAATATCCCAGCATGCATTCATTCTGCACCACCACTTCACCTTCTTGTGACCTATGATGATCCCAGTCACAATGAAGGCTTCTTGTATTTAACCAACAAAGTTCATGCTCAATAATCCAGGTATACAATCCAACAATTTTTAGTCAGGTCATCTGGACAGTTGCTTTTTTTTTGTCCTGAATTGTTTCACCTTCCATCCAGAAGGCTTCATCAGTCAAGGAAACGCACAACACAAAACTGATTCTCCTCCCAACAGCTTACTCCAAAGTGGAACAAACCAGTTATGTTGGTGCCAAGATGGTCTCTTTGGCACGCCCCCTCCTCCGGTGCCGGCCCTCTTCCTCGTCAACAGTCGTGTCAAACTAGTTCAAAACCAACAAAGTCCATGCGCAATAATCCAGGTATACAATCCAACAATTTTCAGTCAGGTCATTTGGACAGTTTCTTTGTTTTTGTGCTGAAACGTTTCACCTTCCATCCAGAAGGCTTCATCAGTCAAGGAAACACAACACTTTGTGTATTGAGTTTTTAAAGCACTGTCTGATACCAAGTTGATTTGAGTAAACTTACAGGATTAACAATATTTCACACTTGCTCTGAAGAAAATGCTTTTTGGAACAATTGTATCTGCACAGGATATTTTTTCAATGTATGCATGTGAATTTGAAGAGGAAAAAAAAAGCCTCATAGCAATAAGGCACAACGCCCATTTTCTTGTAAAATATTAAAGGTTATGAAAGAATTTTGGTCAACGATGGATAAGATTTTGTTAATGCAGCCAGTTGTAGGCAAAGCGTGTGTTTTACTTACTATAACATCAAACTTCGAGTATATGTCCACCACTCGACCTGCGAGACAGCAGAAAAACAATAAATGAATTCAACAGGTTATTAAAACAAAACCAGAGACGTGATTTCAACCAGCCTGCATACCTTTATCATCCACAACAGGGAGCGCGGACACTCGCTGCTCAACAAAAATACCCAGTGCCGTGTACAGAGGCGTGTCCGCACGGACCACTGCTATGTTTTGGAATGTCCCGATATTCAGTTCCTCTAAAGTTTGCTTTAAGAAAGCGGGTCTCGGCATCTCTGATATCTAAATACAAAAGATGACATACACTTAATGAAAGCCTTCATAGAATTGGTGTTTTTATATGATGTTTCTCTTCTTATAAGAAAAATAAAATTAAAATACCATAATAAATGTATGTGACCCATCACATCAAATCAAGGATTGTCACAAAGTGGTTTGTTGAGATATAGGCAGCTATAATGCATTGGTTGAAATATTAACTACTTTTGAATGTTGTCATAAGTTGATAAATAAATAACTTTTCTATGGATAACTTGAATAAAATGGCCAAAATATAATTGTTAGGAATATTTTGAAGCACTTTTCTGAACAGTACCAACAACTAAAAGATGCTGAACAGAAAAGCCTTATATTCTTGCTACTTTCACCTTAGCAAAGGTTTTATTTACAGCTGGGAAATAAATCCATCCTTCCATCATCTTTACCTGCGTCTTCCTTTACGGGTCGCAGGGGTCACTGGTGTCCATGTCCAGCCTTCACTGTGTGAGAGGCGGGGGACACCCTGGACAGGTCTCCTGTCCATCACAGGGACACATGGAGACCAATATCCATTCACTCTCTCACTCACACCTAGGGAGTTACCAATCAGCCTAACATGCATGTTTTTGGTGTGTGGGAGGAAACCGGAGTACTTGGAGAAAACCCACACATGCATAGAGAGAGCATGCAAACTCCACCCTTTTTGTTGAGAGGAAACAGCTCTACCAACTGTACCACCGTACCGCCAGCTGGGAAATCCCTATGTTCCAATATGGTTGGAGATTTCCTCTTTCAAATCACGACAAGAAATCCAAAAACAGGATTCAGACCAATTAAGTAGGGGTATCCCCAGTTAGCAAGACAAATCAAGCCATATCTCTGGCACCGCTTGATATCAGGATAATCCAGGTATCAAAATGCAGCTTAAAAAAAACAGGAATCTGAAAATGTGCTTCGACATTTTGACCATTCAGATTTAATCCTTGGTTCGATGTGATGAGTCACATATGTTGATTAATAAAACTTACAAAAAGCTTCAGAAACTTAAGAATCCTCTTGTGCGTGAGAATATAAAGTGTGTTCCCTGTGAGGGGGTCAATTACAGGCAATCTGTGAATCTTGTTCTTCAGCAGAGATGAAACTGCATCATACAAACTGTGGCACAACAGGAGAGCAAGGTAAGAGAGATCTAATGGCGTTAGTTTTCCAGAGACATGTTGAAGGAAGGAAACAACATTGTGCTTGTTCATCATCTGTTTGGGTCTTAAAAAAACTAGCAACTTCACAAACAAAAGTAAAAAATGTAGACAAAAATAAAAACGATTCCTACAAATATATTTTTATCTGCATGACGAGAATATAATCAACTTCATTAGGTGTAGCAGATGAAAGTCCAAATAAGGATAGAGTATAGCTCAAGCTAAACTGGGAATAAAACATACATGTTCATAAAAAAGACATTTGGCAACAAAACGAAGGCAAAGGAAAGACAGAAGCTTGTCAAAGCTACTGCTGCTTACCTTGCATTGGGAGATATGCAAACCAAAGGCTTAAAGGAGTCTTGAAGGTACAACTCTGATATAAAGAAGAAAAGAAAATTAATTAATTCTAATGAATAAAAAGATTTATCTTCATGTTCGTATGTTAATTAATATTCGCACCTCTCCATGTTTCGATTTTGTGTTCTTCCAACTCGTATATCTGAACCTAAAAGATGAAAGTAACAAAATGGGTTATGGATCCAGAGAAATAATAAAAAATTGGGTATTTTTATGATTTTACATCAAAAAAGATTATTACAATTTTAGTTTGATATATTCAACTATAAGACAATAATCATCTTACCAAAGGAGACTTGTAATAACGGTGAAGAATGTTAATAAAGTCTGTGATGGTTAACATACCTGAAGCCACAGAAAAGAGAGAAACAAAAAGAGTATTACCGGTACTTATTTGTGTTTATGCCACAAAACATGAATGAAAATTGCTCTTACCCACAAAGCACTGCTTGTTACTGTCCCACAGCGGTGCTGCTCTTACCCCATTAGAAACAAGAGCAAAGAACGCCTTCTTCACCTGGAAAACGATTAGCGCAAATAATTCAGGAAGAGCAATTTTTATATCTTTATATATGTGAATCTGTTTTACCTGGAGTGAAGTATCAAATACAACTAATTTGGAACTCGTAGGTACAAGATCATAACAACGGTGGGACTTCATAAACCTGGTGTACACGTTGTTGTCGCGATCTAAAAAAACAAGAACGAGATGAATGAAGACACTCCTCTGGCAGTGTTTCTACTCTAAATAACTAATAGATTTAAACCAATTACCGTCAATGAATGGGTCCTTTTTGCCCTCGAGATCATCAATAGTTACTGGAATCTGAAAAATACCAATAAGGTTCTGAAAAATACCAATAAGGTTCAGAAAATGTATGTTTCTGTGAGAAAGGCCAGTTAGCTCGGCGTTTGTACTAGTCCCGGCTGGTTATTAATTAATTATATTAGTCAGCCTTGATTACACGGAAAGAAAGAAAAAAGCAAAGCAAATAAATTAGTGTAAAGCCTGATAATAATTTATAACAACATTTTACATGAACCAAAGCTGAAAATTACTTTTTCCCCATTTCAGGATAAGAATGAATAACTTGTTTGTATTTTTAAATAAATCAAAAGGTGACGCAATGTGTATGCAGCTTATGCCCGCTATGTCCATTTCGAATAAAATTAATCGATTGATTAAAACTGACTGCACAAATATATATATATATATATATATATATATATATATATATATAGTACTGTCATGATGAATGCTCAGTAATCCAGGTAGATAAATCCAACAAGGTTGAGTCACGTCCTCTGTATATATTATAAGTATATTTAATATTGTTTTAAAAAGGTAAATTTGACTAAAACAGTTAATACTGAACATGCCCAATTATTTGTAAGTGAACGAAGAATAAATAAGAGAATAAGCCTAAACCTTTATGTATTTCAGTAGCCTTTTTATCACTATTTTATTCTGGAGTATTTCACATCTCTTTATATGTGGTACAAAAACCATTGACTGTACTTTGTATATTACTGAGTAACTAGTGAGAAGAACCTCGGCCCAGTTAAAACTATTGGTCCAGTGTAGACAGACTGGATAAAACTTTAAACTGCTCTAAATTAGTCCTGTAATCTTTGACGTATTCCAGGTGTCATGTGTCGAGTTCAGTCCCTCACCGCAGGTCGCGTCTGAGACAAAAACTGTTTATAGTTTTATGACTAAGGATGCGGCTAACTGTACTTTATATCAGTCAACAAACTGGTTAAACATCAAACTGCTTCACTCCCTGCTGTCGCAACAAGTTAGCTGACACTTGATATACGACCAAGTCTAAAACTTCTCAAAACAATTTAAAATAATACTGGCTCTAAAAAAAAAAAAAAACGATACTTCGTTTGTATAATGAGGATGTTAGCTTGCTAGCTAACGTCATAATCAGTTAAGGAGCCAGTTGATGTGACTTTTTATTTATTTCGGCCAAGGCTTTTATTAGACACGAGTTGCTTGGATTAAACTTCATTAAGCACTGTGAAAACAGTTGTTTTAAAAGTTGTACTTATATTTCGCTTTTCTTTCTGTCCTAGCCTTACACACAGTTAGCTCCAAAACTAACACGAATTAGCTCGCTAATTGACTAGCAGCTAACGTTAGCGTGTTTTTAGTATTCAGTCATTTTATTAAAGTGGACAGGCTATGTGTTAATATATGTATATAAATATATATTTATACATCTAGCAGCAAGCAGTTTAACTCACACACTCCATGTTCCATTAGCTGAGAGGCTTTTCTTAGACTGACGGACCTCACAAAGCACGGAAGATCTTCTTCCGCTAAATGTAGCGGTTACCGTAATAACTGTGGTTGTGCCGCAACAACAAAATAGTGCGCATTTATTTTGCGATTATTACCTCCAATCAGTGAGAAGATAAATCACTTTAACACAGTGACTTTACTGCAAGTTGAGATTTCAAAAATCTTAAATAGAGAAAAACGCATTGGTACCAAAATTGTGTTTAAGAGAAAACGTCTATAGGGATTACGGTAAAGCGTTAAACAGTACTGTGCAAAAGTTTTAAACTAATGCTATTTATTTATTTATTTATTTTGCATTTTGCATCCATGGAGCAACATTCTATATAATTTTTAAATATTTTAGGTCAATAGTCTTTAAGCTTTCCAGAAGTCTTTCATATCTGTACTCTATTTGTACACTTTCCTGTTTTAATAGTCAGGAACAAGAACTGGACTAAAATTAATAAGTGATAAGTTAATAAAGCAGCCAAATTCTAAAGAAAAAACTTTGAAACACTCTAGAAAGCCAGAACTTTAGATTATTGCAAGATATCAAGAATATCTTTCTGACATGAATCAAAAGTATAACGAAATAAGAGACTATAGACTTTCACACAACATACAGTATTATTACAGTAAAAACAGTTCATTTCTCACATTTTCTATTTACATAAACCCCAAGTACTGTCAGCAAGTGAATTAAAAGAGCTTGAACTGAGAGCAGTTATAATTCATTTTAGATCTTGAATATGCACATTTCATTTAAAGGCTTCTACATTTACAAATTGAGGTAAGATCCCCTTCGGTCAATAATTCCTTTAGATGCATAAGTGGGGTCAAAAATGACCCCGAGGGTTGTTATTCTTCAAAATCTCTGAAATTAAAAGTTTTTTCTCTTCCATATTCCAGGTATTCCTCATGAAACATGTTTGTGACTTCAAGCCATTTGGATTTTTTTTTTAATGTTTTTATACATTTTAAGAAATTGCAGTTTTTGTGTCACTACCCCAGTTTTTCATAAGCGGGGTCAAAAATGACCCCAAGCATTTCCTACAGAATCTCAAGGGTTTGCTTTGAGAAACTTTGATTCTTACCAACTGTGACTATCAGGATATATTTTCTGTCCCACTTACACATTTGATACCTGCAGTCTCACCACCAGGAGATCAGTTTGACACAGAAGCATACATGTAAGTATTATCATCATTTATCAACTCCATGACTTTTCTGTGATAGAATATCATGTTTGTCAACAAAGTAGACACTAGTTAGCTAACTACAAAATAATATTAGTAGTAATGTTAGTACTCATTACACTAGCTTAGTAAGCCAGCTGATATTACTGCACTTGTTGTGTAGAGACTCATATTCACAATTCCTTGTAACAAATGCTAACCTGTTAGGTAACCTATTGTATCATTATTGAATATTGATTGGTGTGTGTGTACACATGCATGTATGTACCTTTACTTACATATAAATGTCCAGACATTTACTTAGATAGCTACATATTGATTTATAGTTTTGTGTCATTCAAACGTTGTCTGTTTTGTTTTCTCACCTAGACTATCATGGCTTCTTGGAGGACAGCTAGGATACCTGAAGACCTTGCTCGAGAAATGATCCTGAATGGATGGGATGAAGAGCCCATAGGTGGGACTGACTCGGGGTCTGACATCTTAGATGTAGAGGATACAGATTATTGTCCACCTGGACATGTCAGGCTGCCTGGGAACCAACCTGCCTCTGTCGAACAAGATCAGTCAGACATGGAGGAGTCCTCTGAGTCCTCCAAAGAGGGAATTGATATTGTGTCCAACAGAACGAGCCACAAGGGCTCTTACTGGACAGAGTTATCTCCTACTCAGGCTAAAACACCAAGCCACAATTTACTGAGAAGTTGGTCAGGGCCTGCACCTGGGTTTTGCACCATCTCTCAGATAGATGCATGAAAGCTTTTAATTACTGATAGTATATTAGAAGAGGTGTTGACGTGCACAAACATGGAGGGAAGAAGAGTCGCAACAAACAGAGGAAAAGAGTGGAAAAATCTAAGCAAAGAGGAGCTCATGGCCTTCATTGGATTGACCATTCTTGCAGGAAGTGAGAAGAATTGGGATGTACCAATCTGTGTGCTCTTTGGGAGTCCTCTACACAACCAAGGTACCCTGAACATACTAACATACTGTACATCACTGAAGCAATTGGAAGGTGTGGAGTGACAAAAGTTGCAAACAAGTAACAGGAGAGAGGCACAGAGGGCCAACAGAAGAGAAAGAGGTGCCAGATGTATCCAAGAAACAAAGATTGCAAAACCACCAATTGGTGCTGGAAATGCAGTACCCCAGTGTGCAGTGGTCCCAGCCAAAAGCAAATAGTTTGTGACAACTGCACACAGTGAATAGAGAAAAGACGTTTGTGGGCACATGTGAGTGGACAGTGTTCTGGTCGTATGTTCATCCTCTTTTTCGTCCTTCAGACAGATGGACATACTAACAATAATTTTGAAGATTTTTGATGTTATTTCTTGTGGAAAAAATGTTATAAAAAGTTGTGAAAAAGCATGTTAAATGTAAAATAAGTTTTTTGTTGACCCAAATATAATAAATATAATCGCCTTTAACAGAAATTAAAGACAGCTTTTAAATTCATTGCAAAAACACATTGATTCTTATTGGGGTCATTTTTGACCCCACTCATGGAAGAATGGAGGTATTGGTCATTCATGCATCCAAGGGTTAACCCATACATAATGCGTTTAGACTTGTGACATTTGCTAAAAGAGGATTATCACTGATCTTTTTGATGCCATTCTGTTTATTGATCATGCGTGTCAAACTCAAGGCCCGGGGGCCAAATGTGGCCCTCGTTGACATCTTATCTGACCGCAAGATATGTGAAACATAAAATGCTTTTCTATCTCTTGAATTTTTTCAGTAATCTTTAATTATGATGTCGAAAGCACAACAGAACATCAAATGAGACCAATCAAAACTCTTGTTGAGGAACCTGTAACAAAGAAAAGATGTTGGGTATCTGATTTGAGTTAGTGCCGTTTCTGAAATTGGCCCTTAGTTTGAAAAAGGTTTTAATTTTGGGCCCCTTTTGTGAGTTTGACACCCCTGAGATTCTAAGGGTTTGACTTGTGTTCTCCTCTGCACTGAATGCATTCACATTGCTCGGCTGGTGTTTTATCACTTGAGCGAATCCAAAATGTTGGATCTCAAGGATTTGTTGTGTTAGGAAAATAATAATCTAAACTTATAGCGCAATTAGGTCACAAAAAATTACAGCATTGTTTCACTCCTTTTTCTTTGCAGACTTAAAAGACCGAACAGGAGAAAAATAGAAATTTTAATGGGCTTTCATTTGTTTTTAACTTTTTCACTCAGCCTTAGTTAGAAAATGTGCTTTCCATGAAGGAGAAAGTTGTTTTCTATAGATATCAAATGGTTGATAAAAGTTGTTTCTGGTAATAAAGCAGTTTAAATTAGCGTTTTCTTAAATCTTCATGAGTAACAAACATGTTTCTCAAGTTGATCTAAACCACAAGCTTGTCTTTAGTCATTTGAAATGAGAAAACATTTCAAATTTAACAAGTTAAACTGCATCAGTCTTCAAAAATTTTGTATCGTTTATCCTCAAAAACAATTAAAAAAAACATTTGAGTTTATTTTTACTAATTTGTTCATATTTCAGATTTTTTTCCTATTTTTAGAATAACCATTTACAATAAAGTTTGTCAAAAATAAACAAATTACATCCATCAACCTCAGCAATGCCGCCAAATTAGACGCATCCATTGAATAACGGATTTATTTATTTACAAAACGGTTTACAGCAAGATTTCTGAATTACTTTTGACCCACAAGCGAATAACGGTGTTCAGGTGCACAACATCTGCACCCAGGGTGTCAAAAAAAAAAAAACAAGCACCTTGTGTCAAAAATGAAGCTGATGAGGGAGTTTGAAAATCTGTAAGGCACAAGACACAGCATCACCAGCTTCTGCTCAGCTATCTGCAATTTTCCATCATTTCACCGTTAACGTAAATCACCTGGTAATGTAAGAAATGGTCACTACAGGTACAACATGAGGCATCTGGCAAAAATAAAAAATAATCTACAGTTGTCATATAGGCTTCAGGTTTTATGGGGAAAAAAATTAAGTGTCTGGCAGTGACAATTTAATAGGCTACAACCACCTCAGGCATGTATGAACAACTTAAAATTAATGATCTAACTTCAGCATCTTTACAGACATGAAATGTTAAAATGCATTTAAAAAACTGAAAATCAACAAAGTTTAGAATTTTGATGCGCACATAAGGTTGAGCTCTACTTACAAGAAACGAGCACAAACTTGCATCAGGTCAAATATCAATGGTACCCAATCAATTTCTAATATTCTATTGTATAAAAAAGGGCCTAACTGGTACATAAAGATCTATTCCAATCTACACTAAGTATTGTACATAAGGAAACATCTTTATATTACAGTTTACAGGAAGAAAATAAACTACAAAAACAAAGGAGGAGGATCTTGGCATAGTTGTCAGATGTACGGTCATAGTCCTGATGACACAGCTCCGTGGCTCGTTGGTGAGAAGTACCTGAAGATGAGTCGATATGATTACAGTGAAAACTGAAACTACAGTGAGCTTTCTTTGTGTTCAAGAAAATCCATGAACTGAGAAAACAAGGAACAGCACATTTAAAGCAATGTGACTCAAAGAAGTTGCTGAAATACAACAAACGTATGCAAAAGTTAGGAACCAGCCTTCACTGTACATCAACTCAAACAGGAGCCAGAAGGACACACGATGAAGTCTCAAACTTTTAAAGGAAGTTTTGCTAAGGATTTTTCTTCTCAGAAAATACGGGTTTAAATCAAAAGCACAATCTTTTTCCAGATTATATTTTAATTTTTTTAAGAAAACTGTTTATATTTTTTGGCTGGGGGGGAAAAAAAAGATAGATCCTGCTCTAGAAACCTCTTCCCATGATAATAGTTGCATTTGGTAACAACTGTATGAACAGCTGCTTCGTTCTCTAAATTAATCTGGTATCACAACAACGGAGAAGAACTGTTCCACTGCAGCAGCGTTGCATCGATGAGGTCACAATTGGTAAGCTGGTGACGTTGTGCCGCCTGACTCCAGTAAATTAGCTTACTACTGATGTTCCTGGATCAACTTTTACATCACTGCACACTTCTTCTCCTCTGGAGGTGCGTTCCCGTCAGCCTTCTCCATCTCCAAAATGATTCTCTTGAAAACCTCCACAGCAGTCTGTGTTGAAGGAAAACTGGGTTTCAGGTTGTGAACCTGTGTCTAAACTTCACGCGAAGTAAACGGCGAGGATTTACACCATTACCTCGTTCTCCTTGGCAGAAGACTCCATGAAGGCAGCACCCCAGGAATCAGCGAGTTTTTTCCCCTCCTCTGGCTTGATAACCCTTAAAATAAAAGAAAAAACATCTTCTGTGATCCACACAATGATTCAAAGCAATGGTTTCTAGGACGGTTTGATTAGGTCAAGTCAAGTCAAGTCATCTTTATTTGTAGAGCACAATTTAAAACAGATAAACTGTTATCAAAGTGCTTGGGCTTATTTGCTTTTCATGTACAAGTTTGTGATGACTCATGATCTGTCAAAGTTAAACTAAATTAAATAAAATGCCAAAATCCACCATATTACAGCCAAAATTCAGATTTCACAAATATGTTGCGTTACATTTTTTATATTTTTAGTGTGCGTTTTTCTTAAGCATGTTTTTGCACTGAAAAAAGGAGTGGCTCTTAATTTCATTGTATTTGCGTATAATGACAATAAAGGCATTCTGATTCTGATTCTAGTTCTGAAGTGTCAATTCACAGGAGTTAAACAGAAAAAAGTAGCTAAAAGGGAGTGTGACATCTTTGTATACACAGCTTTAACCCACTGATTTATCCCTACATTATAACTGAATGCGAGTCAAGAAAACAAATCAAACTTGATGCAACAAACATGTTTTTCCACATTCAGATAAATAACACAGTAGAAATTATTCAGTTTTATTACAAATATATATATATTGGATTTATTTCCACTCTATATTTTTTTCCACACATAAAAGCAGCAAGTCAGTATAAAAAGTACTTAAATAAACGAGTCATAATACTGCCTGGATCCACTATGATCTCATCTATACATTACATAAATCTATTTATTGACACCGACTATACAAGCTGCAATATCATACTTGAATTTTTTGTTAGATGTATTTCAATAAGTGAGTTGGTTTTGAGTTATCTCAAATGGAAAGCTTCCTTTACATGTTTCATATATTGCCCTCGTTATTCTTTTGTTTCTTTTATTGTATGTTTGTTTTTTTTAAGTATGCACCTGAAATTACAAAGAAAAGAAAAAGAGGAAGAACTAATTAATTTTTTTTTTTATATACAGTATTTCTAGAGTTCTCCAGTAGGGGAAGCTGCTTGCACAATGTAATTTGACAATCTGCTGTCCAACTCCACTCTGACCATCAGCATCAGGAGTTGCTGTAAAAATGTGACTTAGTTTTGTTTTTTTATGTTATAGCTTATGAAGATGGAGGCTTATAGCAGAGAGAAAAGGGATTTACATGTTCGAATTGAGACGACGCTTGTTGGGGGGGGGGGGGGCAAATAATTGTTGCACTGAGAAACACGCAAAAAACCAACAAGACACCTAAAAATTTCCATAAATCAAGCTTAATATGACATAATGAGAAGTGTGAATGAGAAAATAACAGGAAATGCTCAGTTAACTTTAAAGCCTTGGCCCAAACAGTTTTAGGGTATTTGAGACTGAAAAGCCCCCCTTATTAAAATAAATAAATAAAAAAAAACTTAGAATAACATTTTATTTTTTATCCTGATGCATGCTCAATAATCCAGGTAGAAAAATCCAAGAAAGTTCAATCTGGTCCTCTGGACATTCAAAAAAACAAAAAACAAAACAAAGCAAAAAAAAATGTAGAAACGTTCGTCTCTCATCCAAGAGACTTCCTCAGTCTGAGCTGCTGTTTTCA